GTGGTCACTTCCTGTCGACGTTACAGATCAGAAGCACAGAGAGTCGTTGACTAGAGATGATACGCCGTCTCATGGTGGTCACTTCCTGTCAACGTTACAGATCAGAAGCACAGAGAGTTGTTGACTAGAGATGATACGCCGTCTCATGGCGGTCACTTCCTGTCGACGTTACAGATCAGAAGCACAGAGAGCTGTTGACTAGAGATGATACGCCGTCTCATGGTGGTCACTTCCTGTCAACGTTACAGATCAGAAGCACAGAGAGTCGTTGACAGAGGGTGTTGGTTTGGTCTGAACTGGACTTTAAACTTGTCAGTAACTGTGAACCTAAAAGATCTAAGTTCTGAGGTTGTTCTGTCAATAGTTTTCTAATAATAACAAATGAAGCAACTTCTGATCAAACTGTATCAATATCAGGCTTAAAACAACAGCTTCTGATCAGGCCACACCCACTTTCAATTTAAACCCAACCCACTCCCATCATAAACTCCGCCAACTCCAAGTACAGACACTGGTCAAAGGTCACGGTCACTGTGTATCTCAAAGAGTGCCCTCTATTTGGCACAAACATCCACTCAGACTGAAGAATAAACTGATCAGATTTTTGGTGCTCAAAGGTCAGTGTGACCTCATTGAAACATGTTTTTGTCCATAACTGAAGAATTCATTCACTAATTCTGACCAAACTTGACACAAATGTCTAACAGGATAAAATAATGAAGGTCAAAAGGTCAAAGGTCAGCTTGACTGTGACATCATCATGTCTTAACATCATATCTCAGGAACAGAAGGGGAGACATTTGGTCAGATACTGAATTGGTGACTCTAATCTTGAAACTGTGCTGATTGTTTTACATTAGCACATAACCACCTCATAAAAAAAACGGATCACGAACTCCCCGAACATCAAGAGACAGAAACACTATTAACATGACCTGGATTCGAACCACCCACCGTCCCAAATGTCCATAAAGTGTAGAATAGTGTCCATGTAAATGTCTCTGTCACTCAGGACAAATCCAACAGAGCCGCACACAGTCGAGACTAAATGTCTTCACATGTTCACAAACACACAGAACGTCTCAGAACAAACAATAACAGCACACCTGAGTGACACCTGACTCAGTGACACCCCCTGCTGTCAGGAAGTGTGTTGACAGATTCCCCTGTCGGCAGTGAAACATCTATCATCATATGTTTCGTCCTCATTCATCAGAATGCAGGAAGTGTAACTTCAGCTGTTTGACCCGTGTCCTTGTCGTTGCAGCGTCCCTGCAGGCGGCAGCATGGAGCGCTCCGGCAGCATCCAGCTGGACATCCCGGACTTCAGTAACTCCGTTCTATCCCACCTGAACCAGCTGCGTGTTCAGGGCCGCCTCTGCGACATCGTGGTCAACGTACAGGGTCAGAGCTTCCGGGCTCACAAGGTGGTCCTCGCCGCCAGCTCGCCGTACTTCCGAGACCACATGTCTCTGGGCCAGATGAGCACCGTGTCGCTGACGGTGATACGCAACCCGTCAGTGTTCGAGCAGCTGCTGTCCTTCTGCTACACGGGCCGCCTCTGCCTGCAGCTCGCCGACATCATCAGCTACCTGACGGCCGCCAGCTTCCTGCAGATGCAGCACATCATCGACCGATGCACGCAGATCCTGGAGGGCATCCACCTGAAGATCAGCCTGGCTGACTTGGATGAGGAGCCCAGGGAGGAGGAGGAGGCGGCGCGCAGCTCCAGGAGCAGCAGGACCCTGGAGGCCGTGGTGCGAGCCGGCGGTCATCACACCGGCCTGCGGCTGATCAGTGCACGGGGAGGTGTGGAGGCGTGCGAGGCAGTCAGCCCAGCCGAGGAGCCACTCAGCCCGCTGCCGACAGTGGAGCACAGCGGGCTGGAGGGGCCCGGGGCTGCCTCCGGCAGAGCGGGCAGAGAACCCATCCTTCGCATCAACCGGGCCGGTCAGTGGTATGTGGAGACGAGCAGCGAGCCGGAGCGCACCGGCAGTGCCGAAGAGGGCAGCGGCATGGACCGGGTGAGGATCAAAACAGAGAGGATGGAGGAGTGGATCGGAGCGGGGGAGCACCAGGAGGAGGGGGGGCCGGTGGAGGAGGAGACCACCGTGATGATCGACACATCGGGACGCAGCACGCTGGTGACGGGGCCGGTGGGAGGGCTGGGGACCCGCAGCGCCCAGCCATCCTCCAGCTTCAGTGAGACAGACAGGTGAGTCACAGTGACGACCAGCCTCAGAGCGCCGTTCTGACGGAGCTGTAAACAACTGACCACAGTGTTCATGTGCTCACCTGGCAGGTTCAGTCCCACTGGCAGCGTGGTTGTCCTGGCGGAGCGTCACAGAGCGAAGAGCGAGTCTCCCAGCAGGGCGGACGAGCTGCGACAGCCGAGCTCACAGGTACTGACGACCAGCGCTCTGTGACAGGAAACAGGTTCTATGGTTACACTCTGTCTGTCAGTCACTGCTTAGTTTATAACCTGATGACCACAACATGACACATCACTCCAACATCATCATCATCATCACCACCACCATCATCATCTCCCACCGCTGGTTAAGTCCCGAGGGATCCACAGTTAGCGTGTTACCTACAGCAGACATCAGTCAGCAGTTTCAGAATCGAAATTGATTTTAGACACAAAAAAATAATAATTTCAAATGTACACAATATTAAATATTATATTTATTCATGAGCGTTTGAATCTTCCTGACGGAGCTTTCTCTGACATCTGCTGAAGGTAACACACTGACTGTGGATCAGTACCTCATAAAGCCCCACTGCAGAACATCTGGACTGTCGCTTTCAGGACTTAAACAGCGGTGGCGATGATGATGATGATGATGATGATGATGATGGTGATGGTGATGATGTTCGAGCAATGGTGCTCTCCAAGAGTCCATCATGAACTGTCCCTTTACAGCTCAATAAAACCTCCCAGCAGACTCTTACAGCCCCCACTGAACCCAGAACCTCCTGTAGGTTCTCTAAAGCAGTGGTTCCCAACTGGTGGGTCATGGTCCAAAAGTGGGTCTCAGGTCTGTTCTGAATGAATCGCAGGTCACTTGCAGATGTGTCAAGTTTGTAAAAAACACTTTATTTTGAAGTGCTGTTTCCTGCCGTAGAGTCAGTGACTACCAGACAGCTGCTATCTTAACGATGTCCAAACACAGGTATGCCACTGAATATATTAAACCATGTGGACCTTGAACTAATGACAGAGAAGGAATCCGGGCCAGTCAGGAACCACTGATCTGAATAACATTCAGATGGTGAAAACTGAAAGTAAACTTCAGTTCTTCATGTCATAGTTCCTCATATATCTCTTTTCCACCAACATGGAACCAGCTTTGTTCTGGTACCTAATTTTGAACCGTTCAGAGCACTACGACCCAAAATAAACTGATTCAGAACCGGAGGAGCTGGAACCAAAAAATATCAGGTTTTCTTTTACCTTGTTTGAACTGTGACGACATCAGTGGGCGTGTCTTATTCTATAGGTTGTACAGAGACAATGGAGAAGACTACAACAGAAACTAAAGTCCAGTTCAGACCAAAGATTCACAACGAGTAGAAACAAACAACTACGTCATCATCTCTAGTCAACGACTCTCTGTGCTTCTGATCTGTAACGTTGACAGGAAGTGACCACCATGAGACGGCGTATCATCTCTAGTCAACGACTCTCTGTGCTTCTGATCTGTAACGTTGACAGGAAGTGACCACCATGAGACGGCGCATCATCTCTAGTCAACGACTCTCTGTGCTTCGTTCTGATTTGCAGCTTTTCAGACTTATTTTGTGGCTGAATATAATTTGTAGCTTCTTAGAATCTGAATGAGGATAGTGATAGTGAGATACTGGCTACAGCTGTGTTGAGTTATTCTCGAAGTTTGAATGCTAGAATATTTTGTGTTGACTCACATCATACGCTCATAAAATTACTGAATCCATGAATGAACTTCCACCAGTGTGTCCTCTGGATTATACACCCCTGGAGCATCTCAATGCTGATTGGCTATCGCAGCACGAATTGGTCGCTGAAGTTCAGATTTTTCAACCCTTGTGAATAAGCGTATCATGTGAAATCACGCGACTCACTTCATTCACGTTTTTTGGGTCATTCAGATTGCGTCCTTTGCAGCACTCGTGGGAATTCGTGTCTGTTCGCATCTTTACTTGACTTTACGTGTAATTCACTCACGCATATTGTTTTATGTGCTGCTGGTGTGAACACATCATAAGAACCAGAGCTGATTTGGTAGAAGAGGGGTATCAGTGGTTACTAGAACCTTTTGAGTCTCCATCGACCACTAGAACATGTCAGAAACCCCCAGAAACTCCTGAAGGAACCCTAGAACCTCATCAGTAACTGAGAGCAGTGTGTCCAGAGAGTGTTCAGTGTGATGTCATCTGTTCCTGTGTTAACGTGTCTTCCTGTCTGTCAGGGGGAGGAGCATGCAGCGTTTGATATGGGCGGCTACGAGGACTACCTGAGGGAGCAGGTAGGCGACCGCTGGTTCCGCTACAACCCCCGCCTCACCTGTATCTACTGCTGCAAGTCCTTTAACCAGAAAGGCAGCCTGGACCGCCACATGCGCCTACATATGGGCATCACGCCGTTCGTCTGCCGCATCTGCGGGAAGAAGTATACCCGCAAGGACCAGCTGGAGTACCACATCCGCAAGCACACCGGCAACAAGCCCTTCCACTGCCACGTCTGCAGCAAGAGCTTCCCCTTCCAGGCCATCCTCAACCAGCACTTCCGCAAGAACCACCCGGGCTGCGCCCCGCAGGAGGCCCACAGCGCCTCCCCCGAGACCACCACCGCCTCCGTCACGTCCAGGGGAGGGCCAAGCGACGAGGCCTCCCCCAGCCAGGAGGAGCCCGAGGGTGGGGGCAGCGGTGGCGGAGGCCAGTACAGTGAGGGTCCTCAGGCCTCGGTCTCCACCACAGGGCCTGACTGACCCCGCGGAGGGGGAGGGGGGAAGGATGGAGATTGTGGTGGGGAGTGACAGACGTGGAAGGCCGCTCTGATCCTGTTGCACCTGAAGCCAACGGGACGCTGAAGGCGTCGAGTCAAAGCAGCGACTGAAAAGACGCCTCAGAGTCTGAACTGAGATTTTTCCGCTTTAAACCGCATCTACCTTCACTAACCAAACCGAACAGATCGAGAGAAAATGAAGAAATGCCACACACTCCTACAACCTCATACACCACACGATGACGTGGTCCTCGTTTGCCTCCGTCTACTTTATGTTACAGATTTCTACTTTTATATTTACAGGTCCTACAGGTTCACAAAGCAGCGTCACAACAGTCTGTCTGGTGGAAACTTTGCCAAACTTCTCAGTGCCAGTTTAATAGGTAGAATCCTTCGTATTTGCCTTGAGACAATCTGGAGCAGCTGGTTAATAACAAGAACCCTGCGCGCTCTTTAACGTGCCACAGCGGCATTAAAAAGTTTAGTTGCACAAAAAGATTCAATGAGAAAAAACTACGACTGTTAAAGTTCAGCTGTGATCAGAGTTCCTCAGTCTTTGTGACGTTAGAACCAATTTAATATCCTGTTCTCATGAAGCTGAAAACATTTCACATCATGCAGAGATTTCACCAACACCTGCAGGGCTGCAGCTAAACATTAATGAGGAGTCAAGTGTATTGATAAGTATGTTAATTATTAATTCTATAAAATATTAGAAAATATAATAAAGTCTTCAGTCTTGTTTTCAGATGTCTGTTTGTTGTGATCGACAGTGTAAAACCCAAGAAGCAGATAAAGACGTTCAAACCAGAACATGTTTCTAATTTAATTTTTCCAAAATCGTCTAAAGTTTATAATCATGATCAAAAAACTTAATTTAAACAAAGTGATTAAATCAGTTTATCGTTTCACTTTTGCTGCTTTGGGATTCTTGAACTTTGTTCTCAGAAGCAGAAAAGTCAAAATTATTCACTGTTCGTCGTCACATAATAAAAACAAATAAATATAAGTTAAGGGAGCCCAGTGTGTGGAGTTTACATGTTCTCCCCGTGTCAGCGTGGGTTGAGTTCCTCTCAGCAGCAGTTTAAAGTTGAATCGTGCCAAACCTTAGTGTCAGTTTAATGACTGAACCTTGTGGAAAAGTTACAAAATAATTAGTGAAATAATCTGGTGATTATAATCTGTAAATTCTAGATTTAAATAATAAAATCATAGACATCAGAGGCATTAATATGAAGCGTTGGCACCATCTTGTTTCAAAATGTGTGACGTTTTCTTAATGAGTGATGGTTTGATGTAGAAAGACCATCTGTATTAGAGATTCTAAAAGGGTTGCTTACTCAACTATTCCCAGAGCTTTCAACTGTATCACATGACCTTCCCCAGCAAATCAAACCTGCTCAGGTGTCATCAGGACTTGGGTCACGTGGTAAAAGGTGGGCTTAAGTGGGGGGACATTACAACCCTCGTTCATGCTCAAGGACGGCCCCCCACTGCCCCCGCCCCCCATTACATCACCAGAAGAAGATCATGGGATGCATCTGAAAGCTCTGGGAACAAATAGGTATTGACATGATGCAGTAAAAACAGTCTTGAGTACAAGGTGAAGAACTCTGATCACGCTGGAATAATTAATTTGGCAGTAAAGTAAATTCTTAAGATTATGGTTTGATGATATTAATGAAGTGAGTTTTAAGGATCTGGCGGTTAGAAAGGACCATCTGGCAGCCTGTTGACTGAACAGACTCACAGCAGGAAACCTGGACGGCGTCCAGCCTCAGATAAGCTACACAGCTCAGTTACCTCTCATCACTACGCAATACAGCTGCTGCACTGCACAGCACAGCACCACCGGGGGGCGCTCTGACCCACTCACACAGGGCGTTCCGTCTGTCTTCTCAGATATTTTTATAAACAAGCATGTGTTTTATCTTTTCTTTGTTTTTCTTGGACACTTTTTCGCTCTGACAATGTGTGTGACGGACGACAGGAGCTTCACGTTCGAGGAGACATGTCACGTCCGATCAGTAACGTCTGTCAGTGTCGCATTAAATCTGCTGCACATCAACGACTCAAAACTAATAAACATAACTGATAAAATAACTTTGAATTCAGTCAGGGAGAATTAACAGAAAACTACTGCCAGCTGATGAGTACATTAGCTGTCATCATCAAAATGGAGACAGGTTATGCTAACATTAGCTTGCAAGCTAACTCTTTTTTGCTTACTTATCATGTATCCTGTATCATGTTGTATTCTATTTCAGGACAATTATAAATCATTCATTTGTGCTAATAGGCTAATTATAAGCTAGTTAGCTGGAAGTGTGCTGACTTAGTTTCGTATTCATTTGTCTTGGACAGACTCAAAAATCAACATTAGCTAGCTAAGTTTTTGCTCACTCATTGTTCTGTAGTGTTATTTTGTTCCACACCACAAACATTATTTTCTAAAGGGCAGACACAACATTAAAATTGACATTAGCTCACCAGCTAACTCAGTTCTTTCCTTACTGATCATGTAACTTTACAAATAATATTCCAGTGGTTCTATTATTACATTCATCATAACGTTAAACCAGAGATCTCTGTTGCTCAAAGAGTTAATGATCGTGTCCTAGTCAGCTACCTTTTAGTTAACTGTTAATATTTGCTAAGAAAACATTAATTTACTTGATTACTCATTATGAACACTTTGTTTTCTATTTCAAAACAATTCTGTGGCACAAACTGGAACGTGTGATTAGCCTAACCCTTCGCTCTGTTTCTTAAACAACAGCGCTCTCATTTTAGTGGAGAGCGTCAGGTTGGATTAACGAACACACCCTATAGCTTGATATGGTTCTTATTACAGGCTTGTAATTCAACCTGGATAAAACATCTACAGGACACGTCACCACAACATCACGTGACACTTCTGATGATGACGACAGACGCAGTCGTTGAAACTGTCATGTAAGGGATAATGTATAATGATCCGGTGTATACTGGGAAAATAACTCCCGACAGGGGAATAGAACCCCGACGCGCAGCGAAGTTGTGTTCCCAGTATTCACCGGCTCATTATACATTATCCCGCTTATTACACGGCTAATTATCAGTTAAATAAATAATTTGAGACAGAATATTGATTAATTATATGATTTTTATTGATTTATAAATTAAATCGGGAGGAGAGAAAAAAAAACTGCCGGCAACGGCTGAATCTGCGCTACAGTAGCTACAGGGAATCAAGATCAATGATCAACCTCCCTGTCGTCCACAATCTTGTGTCTCCTCTCTTTTCCATGTGCCTCTGAGCATCCCTCTTCTCCGGCATTCTTCTCATCTTCAGACAGTAACCATGACTCAAGATTTTCATGCTCACCAAATATGTTAAAAGTTTTATCATGAAAATAGTCCATCTTTGTATCTTGTAAATTATTATTTTGAAGTGGTGACGGCTACGTTAGCCCGATAATAAAGTAACTGTTGTCAGGGCAGCGTCCCTAGCAACGCTGGGCTACATAGCAACGGTCATTACACAGTAATATCAGACCTCTGAATGCCGCGACTGACCAATTAGAATACAGCATTTAATAGAGCCGTGTAATAAGGTATGATAAAACAACACTTAAGAACCGTATCAAGCTACGTATAAAAAGTAGGCTATATGAATTTGTTTGGACGAACACACCCTATAATTTATTCAGGCATGCTAATAGGCTAATTGTGAGCTGGTAAGCTGAGCTTAGTTTGTTTAAGTTAGTATTATTTTTTTCGTAGACAGATTTAAAAATCTACGTTAGCTAGCTTTTTTCTTTTTTTTTCTGCATTATCTCCAGTAGCACAGTATAATTATTCTAAATCTGCTAAAAGAGCTAATATTTGTGAGTTATTTAGTTAACAGAAATTATTCCATTTTAGTTAGTTTTATTTTCCTTAGGCAGACACAGAAAAATTACATTAGCTCACAAGCTAACAGATTTTTGGTTACTTATTACTCATATCATTTTTGTTTGTTTTTAACTTTGCATATACAATTTGTATTCCAGTCGTTTAGAGCTATTACTATTAATGACATTAATTATTAAGAATAGTTTTCTGTAGGATAACACACAGTTTAACGTTAGCTTGAAAGCAAACTGATTTTTTTGGCTTATCCATTGTTTTCTAAGCTGATGTTGTCAAACATTAATATTTCCAAGAGAAATACACAGAAAGTCAACATTCTATTAGCTGTGTTAGCTGTTATGCTAACGTTAGCTTGCAAGCTAAGTGAATTTTTGCTTCCTCACCATGTACAATTATGGGTGCGTTCATAAATACTCGCTGTGGGAATGCACCGTTCGGTTCTCTAGAACACAGTCTGAGCAGCAGAGCGCCGAGCGGAGTGAACATACGATTAACTTAATAGTTTGTCAATTCACACTGCCATTTAAATGTACAGCGCCAGATTGAATTCATGAACGCACCCTTAATTACACACATAGACCTCCATTTTTAAAAGCTAACGTATGTGAGCTAGATAGCTAATGTTAGTTTGCTAATGTTTCACGGTATGGAAACTTTAAGGAAAACTTAAGTGTTTTCGGGGTGGATAGTGTAACTGAACGACATCAGTCTCATCTCTCTGTGTGCTCTGTAGGTCCAGGATGTGTTAGCCTAGCTTAGCACAAAGACTGGAAAAAGGGAAAACTAGTATCCTAGCAATATGCTATGTTGACTCAAGCTCTTTAGCTAATGTTTGCTCGCTAGCTAACAGGAAGTTAACTTTTCCAATCAGGATATTATTCTTATGATATCGATAAAATACTGTGTTTCCCCCTCTGTGCTGAGCACAGTCACACATGTGCAGTAGAGGTAATGTGTCATCAGCACAGAAGGTTCTGATTCGGTCATTGATCGGGTAGCGACAGGTGGAGGACCCTGTCAGACCAGATGGATGTAGGAGCCAGGCCACGGAGCTGGACCACAACAGAACCCTCCAAGTTCACCTGCCGGAGGGCGGGAGCAGGTCGGACCACCTGGCAACCAAAGGAAAGACGAGGTGGCCACGTTGGCCCTCCAAAACAACTTCAGCACTTATCACAGAGAGACAGGGGATCAAAAACAAGTTTTTATAAAAAACAGAACAATATAAAATCACATATTATCAGACATATTTAAACTACTAAGATGTTTTTTTGCATATGAATAATGTAAGTAAGCTAGGAGTTAAATTCAGATGTATGGTTGGTAGGTAGGCAGGTAGCACATGGATCGGCTGTTACTGTTTTTCTACGGAGCTGTGAAACAGATTCTCAGTGGACGGTAAATTTTTTTATGCAAGTGAAGCCAGCGGCTCTGTCCTCACTCCGGCTGGCTGGACTCAACTGTCCTCACTCCGGCTGGCTGGACTCGACTGTCCTCACTCCGGCTGGTTGGACTCGACGGTCCTCACTCCGGCTGGCTGGACTCAACTGTCCTCACTCCGGCTGGTTGGACTCAACTGTCCTCACTCCGGCTGGCTGGACTCGACTGTCCTCACTCCGGCTGGCTGGACTCGACTGTCCTCACTCCGGCTGGTTGGACTCGACGGTCCTCACTCTGGCTGGCTGGACTCGACGGTCCTCACTCCGGCTGGCTGGACTCGACTGTCCTCACTCCGGCTGGCTGGACTCGACTGTCCTCACTCCGGCTGGCTGGACTCGACTGTCCTCACTCCGGCTGGTTGGACTCGATGGTCCTCACTCTGGCTGGCTGGACTCAAGTGTTCCTCCCAGATCCCGCCACCGCCGCACTCACTCTTCAGGCTAAACCAGGAACTATCAGGTATACAGACTCTTTGTTTTATTCAGTGAATCGGACGTTTACCTTTCCCTACGTAGCAGAATGCTAACAGCTAAACCTCAGTGCGAGCTTCAGGCCGCAGAAATAAAACTCACCTGTAAATAAACTCAACAGCAGGAAGAGCTCCTGCCAGTCACTGCAGAGGACGACAGAAAACACAAAACAGGGCTGGGCAACATAGAATAAAAATCAGTTGTCATGACAACCACAAGACCTCTTATCAGTGTACCACTGCAGCAGAAAATACTGCTTTCTGATTGGCTGGCAGATATTTGTAAAACTCCTGTATGAAGAGACGCAGCGGCAAAACCAGATGTGTCTTCATAACTGAGGACGTCTTGTTTTATTTCTGCTCACATCAGATTTCACTTCAGCTCATCTAGTTCATGAATTTTATAATTGTGTAAAAACAAAGTCCTGAAATAATGAATTTTCAGCCAGCTTTTTTTTTTTTAAGAAGTCCCAAAACAAATGCAGCAAATATTCTCTACAGAAATCTACAAATGTTAATTTAGTTTGCTGTTTATGATACAAATATACAGATTTATTTTTATCTTCACAGAACTTTGTTCACGTCTGTAAATCTCACAAAACCAGAAAATAATAACTGCAGTATTTTCGCTCCGTACAAGCCAACTGAAAAGTTTGCACACTGTGACTTCTGCATTAGATATGATTTACAGGGTGTCGGCTGAAAAGCAGTGTTGTGCTGCCCTCTGTTATTCTGTGGCAGCCTTCATGCTGCTGTCTGCTGTTTACTAACCTGTGTGATGTTCAACGTGACACACCAGAGGAAAAAAAGAGCAACAAAGAAATGCCTGCTTGCCTGCACGCTCCAGTCTTCTGGCAATGAGAGAGGACGTTACAGCTGATATTTAGCAGGTTTTCCTGTGTTTAGAAAAAAAAAAAGCTGCATTCATGAGTTAAGTTTGGTAGAAAAGGGGAACATGTAAGAACCAGGCTTTGGTTCCAACTGGTTCCTGGTTTAAAAGCTTTTTTTATCATTAAATAAGTACTTTCTTTTACAAACAGACAAATGGCCTCCAGAAAAGTTGAAAACTTTACATTTCTTTTGTTTTTCAATCATCACATTTATCTCAATGTAACATGAAAAAAGTATGGATGCACGATAATATCAGCACGTCGTCAGTATCGGCCAATATCGGCTTTAAAATGAACCATGAGAATCAGCAACATGCTTTTTCTTATTCAGCACAATGACTGAATACTACAGACACTGACAGGCATTCTGCTGCTCGGCCGTCACCATCACAGTCTGTCCGTATAAGATGATGTTAATTCCACCACAAAAGAGACTTGATGATGATCTGACTGACATCAGAGGGAAAAAGTGGATATATCGATATTGGCTATTGGTCAAATGAGTTGTTCCATATTGACATATCAGATATCTGCAAAAAATCCAGTATCGTGCAGCCCTAAAAAAAGAAAGGAGGCTGACGTAACGTGAGGTGACATCGCACACTCGGCTCGAACACGTGCTCACATTAAGAATATTTTCCTGATTCATCAGTGTGCAAAACTGTTGAGTTGCCTCGTGGATCCGAGCAGAAGTTTAGAGCACTAAACTTGGAAAAGATAAAAATATGAAACATGTTTCTTAACATGTATTTGAAGAAATCCTCGGAGTCATTTGACGTCATCGTCGTGTGGCATCGATAAAGATCAAAGTGAAATTCTGCATCAAGATAAAAAAAACAAGCCAGAAATCCTAAAACATGATTTTGTCCCAGCTGTAGAAGTGAAATGTGGACATGTTGCCCAGCTCTGACAGAAACACGTGAACAAACAGACTGACCTAACTCTCAGTGCAGCAAAGAGATGAAAACATGAATTAACCCATTCATCCAAATCTCTTCTCAAAGGCTGCTGGTCAGATTATACAGGAAACTGTAGATTAGTTAGTTTGGTCACCAGTAACATCTGAAAGCTACCTGTCACGTTAATGAAACTTAAAGCTCCTAAACCAGACTGAACTGGTCCAGACTGGACCACCAGTTCAGACTGGGTCATGTCCTCAGTACTCTGTTTCTTCTCTCTGCACTGACTGTAGTGACTTTTTATTTTCAATGAACAGCTCATTTCAAGCCAGTTAAACTCAAAACAACGCTGCTGCCAGATCAGCCGGTCCAGTCCGGTCTGATCTGGTCCGTTTCTCCTGGAGGAAACTAGAGAGGAGGAAAAGTTGGATCAGAGTTGCATTCAGGCCCGACTGCACCTGAAGCGTCAGGGTTTTAAACCTGAGGTGAGTCTGAACACAGGAACTGAACCAAAGACTGTTT